TAAATAGAAATTGAGCACTTCAAACAGCAATCACATCATAAACGCATATAATTGAAATCTACGTATTGACCGGATTTAACTTCGGGGCCGCCCTGGTGTCGTCGTTTCATTTATGGAGTTCTGTAGCGGTAGTACAGTACAGTTTGATATAATCACATCTATACGTACTAAACTGATCTTTGATCTTGTGAACAGATCAGATCAATTTAACATTCCTACATCTGACAACACATATTAACGATTCAGTACCATCTTCAAAACCATGAATAAAATGTCTAAATCTCGCTTACATTCAATGATAAAGGTTTATTCATGCGGCTTATCTTCTCAATTTCACACACCCCGACGTATCTATACAAGGGTAATTTTTAATGAATTAAGTAGATTATCAAAATTATTTAAACTTACAGAAATTAATTATCTTAGACTATGGCATCTGCAACTGGAGGACAAGTCACTAACAAAGATCCTTTGATCAAGACCTTTAATATTTATCGCTGGGTAAAACAATATATATATATATATATATATTATTTGGACTTTCTGAATAAGATAAATGACATTTTACGTAGCTATATTAAAACCTTTAGTTTATATATTTTATATCAATATAGAATCCCGATAAACCCGCAGAAAAACCTCATTTACAACAATATCAAGTAGATCTCAATGCGTGCGGTCCTATGGTACTAGATGCTTTAATAAAGATCAAAACTGAACAAGATTCCACACTGACTTTTCGTCGTTCGTGCCGTGAAGGCATTTGTGGTTCATGTGCAATGAATATCAACGGTACAAATACTTTAGCATGTCTTTCTAAAATCGACCGCAATGCAAGTAGTACAAAAATCTATCCATTGCCTCACAGTAAGTCTTTGTCTATGAAAAAAAAATATATTAGTTAAATTACATAATCTGATGGGTAACGTATTTTGTAGTGTACGTTGTCAAGGATCTTGTTCCAGATCTTACACATTTTTACAAACAGTATAAATCTATTGAGCCATTTCTAAAAAAGAAGACTACACCGAAAGACGGAGAA